AGGTCGGAAGTCACGTGAAGTGACGCCGATCGAATGTGGCAAGGTCGAAGGACGTGGTGAGGAACTTAGGGACTTAGTGAAATTGAATACTATTCTATGTTGGCTAAGGTTGGAGTTCGTCACTATAATGAAAACAATGTTGACTTGGATGCTATATGTGGAGTTCATCATTACAATGGATAATACGATAGATCATGTTATCTTAACATGGTCGACGTCAAATACCTCGACGAGGATAATCAATTCTTAGCGCCTAGTAAAGTAGTTAAGAAATATAAATGATATCATAAGGCGGGAACTACATCAGCATCAATAATTATTTAGAAAAACGCGGGAGCACGTCGTGGAAACCGTTGCATGGACCTGAGACGTGTCACCATAGGAGTAGTCTACCATTCTTTGACAGTTATCGTAGAGTAGTATATAAGAATACTTAGGTTCATTTTGTAAGGGCCCCGCAATTGTACATACATTTCTGTAAACTCAAAGCACATACGTCTTTAGAAACGAGTGAGGGAAAGATGTAAGCATGTGTTCCACCATTTTATACATCTTCAGCAACTTTACCTTAAAAGTCTTTTTATGCATTAAAGTCCCTTTCGATTTCCTTTACTTTTCCTGTCATCTTACATTACTTGCACTTCAACTTCAACCTTTTCTTATTTTTCTGCATTTGTCTTTTAATTTCAAAGTCTATTCTTTACTTTACTTACAGGTTTGATTTTAATCCTTTTACTCTTTAGCATTTTTCTAATTGCAATTAATCACAACAGATATTTCTTTTCAACGAGTTTGTTCTAACTTCGACAATATTATGACTTTACAAGTAATAAATACACAAAAATATGTCTGAGAGACTTTCGAGTTTGATCCCTTAATTATTAATAGAAACTTGTATTTGTTTACCAAATTTCACCGTAAATACGGGGGCGCCCTAAAAAAGTCAGCAATCCTGCCTATTTGATGCACTAACTACTGGTAACTTTGGGTGGTGTTTTGGGTTAAAGGATTGAACATTGTACCTATTTGTTGTGTCAGCATATTTACCATTTCATGGTTAAATTCGTCCATTTGTTGCCTCATGGTCGTTAAAGAATCAGTAGTCAAAGTTGGCATTATGGGAGGGGTATATCAGAACCTCCTTTATGGTTGCCCAATGCGACTAGGGTTGCTTATGGAAAATTCTGACGTCGAATGTGGATTGAGAGGTAACATTATTGTTGCAATATTATCTGCAAACGTCGAAGTGTGACTGTGTAAGCTTGCCATCATGGCAGTTGACATGCCATAAGGATAGTCCCTTAGTAACTAGAGGCGTAGTAAAACTCGGGACATATGGGGGTTATAGTCCCCCATAACTTTCGTAATAGGCCTTAGAGAGGTTGATACGATTGTTATCCGATAGTAACAGTAACCATCACTCTTGGCATTGACGCTGAAGTCAGAACCGAAGTTAAAATCAGACATGTGACTCCGCTAATATATATTGTTCCCGTCGTAGTAACTGGTGGTTTTGAGTCTCGAACATCGTTTTGGGCTCAAGAGGTGTTTTTCGGGTTTGCCATTACTGCTAAAATCCTATTTGTCCTCAAACGAGTGTGACCCCAGACATTACAAATCTTACCACTTTTCAACCGCATGCGTTAACGAACATTGGAAATAAATTGATGATAACAGAGTAAATAATACAACGGTTTCTTCAAAAAAAAATTTCGCACAAAAAACGCATGTCCCACCGGGCGTGTCAATTTGTTTGCAGGTATTTTTAGCGAATAATCATGAGTTTGAAAATCTTTGAGATTAACTCGAAAATCTCGATATTATTTTTATGTAAAAACTTTTTACTATAACGTAAATGTAAGACGTAACTACAAAGTTTTGATTGCAGACAGTGTAATAATAAACTTTAAAGACAATAAAACTTAAATTAGAGTAAAACACACTTGAAATAAACAACATTAAATAAAATACAGTAAATGACAAGAACAAAATATGTTTCAATTAGGGAATTATGTAAAAGTACAAGAAAGAAAAAAGGACACAAACTTACATAATTGCTCACAAACTGTTTTTCTTTTTGTCTTGGGTACCAGTTTTATAGAGAATGTATGTGAGATTTTGTGACCGTTATTACAACACAAGAGTCTTCTATATATACTAAACTAAGAAAACTACATTCGACAGTTTACATCTACAAAAATTTACAACGTCTTCTAATATACGTAACTCGTTTAGAGTCTGTCAGAATGCCCCTCCTCGACATGGTGTCAAGTAGTTACTCAAGCCTATTTACGAGATTCCTTCAAACTAATTCTTAAGACAAACTATTGAGATTCTCCCAAACTACATCTTAAGATGTCAGTCAAAAATTACAGTCAACGTGTCATTACTGTCAGACTCTTGTCCGTCAATACTAACACTTAATACTTCGTAAAATACAATATTAATTTGACTTTTTCCACTAAATAGAAAATCTAAGATCAACAACTAGATAACTAATTACAATTATGCACTAAAAACAGATGTATGTAATATCAAATAAATTACAACTTAAATTTTTTATTATTCTGAATAAAATCAAAAGTGTTGCATTAAAACCATTAAATCATAAGTGTTACATTAAAAAAATAAAGACTTAAGTGATGAATGTAGATGAGAAGAACAATTAGTAAATTCTAAGTGTTGCATTAAATCCACTGCTTGCTTTCTAGTCTTGGTCAACTTTTATTACATTTTCATTTTAATATTTATATATTATATATTGAATGACATTTATATAAGCTAGCAACAATGACATATACACCTTCACGAGATATACTACTTTTTCTCTATTTTAAAAATAAATAGAAAAGTGTTAAAATAATATAAATATGGATAATCATAATTGATTACATTTTATTATTATAGAAATATAAAATTCCATAACAACAAATCTTTAAAATTCTGTAAATAAATTATTATTAAAAAGTATTTAAATATAATTTATTTAAAATTAAAAATTCACTTGCAATCAAATATTTCTAACATTCACACTACATTTGACATATTCTTAATCGTTAAATCAAAATCAAACAATTTATATTTAAATATAATTTTTAATTAATTTAAAATAAAAATCTTAATTTTACGTTTAAATCTTTTAATCTTAATCATCAAACTGTCAAGAACACATCAAATAAAAAAAAATGTAACAGTAAAGAAAATGTGATTTGAAATTTACAACTTCACATTCTAAAAATACCATTTAAGTCCTTCATACAAACTCCATCTTAGATAAATCCCATCATTTCAAGTGAGATTACTTTTATAGTGAAAAACCACTTTCAATATTAAAAAGTGGATGTTAAAGAAAATTTTAAAAAGAGTGTTCATATACCTTTTGCTCGTCTCGCCAATAATAGTAACTCTATTTACACTTGTCCGAAAAACATTTTATATTTTTGAGAAACAAAAAAAATTTATAATCTAATAAATTTAATAAAATATCTTATTTAAAGACATGCTCATTTCATTACCGAAAGCCTTTATCCGTCATTTCAGTTGTGTTTCTTCGTCATTCTTTGTTCTCTCTCTTTCTCCTCGTTCCCCCAAATCGTTCCAAACCCTAGAAATTCCTCTTTCAGAATCTCACAACTGTCATCAATAGAACCCTAGATTTCGTCATCAAACTCTCACTTCCCCAATTCAGATCCCCAATTAGTACCCAGATTTCCCGCATCGATCCCAATCTCTTTCTTTTTCTCTAAACCCCTCGATCGACGACGTTTCCGCGCGATTGAATTAAAAAATTCCCCGATTTCCTTACGGTGGCTCTCGCATGGGTAAAATTCTCCGAGAAACCGCGAAACCATCATCCAGTTCATGTTCTCCGTCTTCCTCATCGGAACACGGCGACAACCTCGTCGACTTCGATCACGGAGACAGTGAAAGGCTCTCACCAGTTCAAGATCACGGGGTACTCGTTGTCGAAGGGGATCGGGATTGGGAAGTACATCGCGTCGGATATATTCTCTGTGGGTGGGTACGATTGGGCCATCTATTTCTACCCTGATGGAAAGAGTGTTGAGGATAATGCTACCTATGTGTCCCTCTTCATCGCGCTCGCTAGCGAAGGCACTGATGTTAGAGCTCTGTTTGAGTTGACCCTTTTGGATCAGAGTGGGAAAGAGAGGCATAAGGTTCATAGTCATTTCGAGAGGACTCTTGAAAGCGGGCCTTACACCTTAAAATACCGCGGCAGTATGTGGTAGGATCTCCATTCTTTTTAGAGTTTTTTCATGTTTAATTGTTAAAAATTTAATTTTTATTTTGTTCCACTTGTCATTGATTTGATCATGTTACCTTGCGTGTAAAATCCGTGTATTGAGTTTTGAAGATTTAATCTCACGTGTTTTTGATGATATAGTTGTGTGATCATTTTCTAATGAAGTATAGGCTAACAAATTACGGGGTGTCGTCTGATTGTACTATTTGTCTGATGGAATATTATTTTGTTGTATGATTAAGGGATGAAATATTTTTGTCTCTTGCTTGGCTGCTCCACAACGTGTTGTGTGGGTGACTGGCGCTGTTGAGAAGGGTTGGGAAGGGATCATGCCATTTGATTGGTATATATTGATTTTGGAGATAGTAGCTTACATCGTGTATTAGTGTTGTTTTTTGTACACATTAAAAAAGCTGATGCTGATTATTTTGTATCTTGTGTTTTAGGGGTTACAAGCGGTTTTTTAAGAGGACGGCTTTAGAGACATCAGACTACCTTAAAGATGATTGCCTCTCTGTAAATTGTAGTGTTGGTGTTGTTAGGTCACGCACAGAAGGCCCGAAGATATATTCCATTGCAATACCACCTTCTAACATTGGTCACCAATTTGGTCAACTGCTGGAAACTGGTATAGGAAATGATGTGAGTTTTGAAGTGAATGGGGAAGTTTTTACTGCTCATAAATTGGTGCTAGCGGCTCGTTCACCTGTTTTCAGAGCCCAACTTTTTTGGTCCTATGAAAGATCACAATACCCGGTGTATTAAAGTTGAAGACATGGAAGCTCCAGTATTTAAGGTATTACTTAATAAATAGTTTACTTAATTTTTTTGTAAAAGACTTAATATTTTACTTATTATCTTAAATATGCATAGAAAATTGAGTTGTGATAACTTATACTAGTATTTTAAAGTTGATTTGATGAGGAGGATATGCCATTGTTTTGCCTTTTGTAACAAAATACATTTGCAAGTTGCAAACTTTGTGTTGAATGAGAACGAGACAATATTGAGTTTGAAAACTATGCAGGGGGAAATGCCTGTTGAGTGACCCTTCATTGTGCCTTTTTTATTGTTTGCAGGCATTGCTTCATTTTATATACTGGGACTCACTGCCTGACATGCAAGAGCTTACCGGTATGAACACAAAATGGGCAACAACCTTGATGGCCCAACATCTTCTAGCGGCTGCTGATCGGTATGCCTTAGAGAGGCTCAGGCTTATCTGTGAAGCGAGTCTATGTGAAGATGTTGCCATAAATACCGTGGCAACGACTTTAGCCTTGGCAGAGCAGCACCACTGTTTCCAGCTGAAAGCAGTCTGTCTCAAGTTTATTGCTACCTCCGAAAATCTCAGAGGTGTGCTTTTCTTCTCTAAACTTATTATACATAATAGCTCACTGAAAGAATTGTAATATCAGTGAGTAAGTTTTACACTAAAAAGTCTGAACTCCTAGTGAAGCTAACTATCATTCAAAGTTAGATTCACTGCTGAATGTTATCTTTTGTCAGCCTGTCGCTATTATGCCCTCCTGTTTGGACTTGTTCAATGAAAAAAAAAAGCTAAACTGTGAAGGAATCATATGGTTTGGCTTTTGGGTCAACCTTTTCCATTTATTACTAATTATTTATCCATGCAGTTCAGTGTTCGCCCATGGTTTTACTCCCAAGTTGTGTGGCTAGTTAATTTGTAGTAGCAAATGTTAATTATAAGTACTTTTACACTTCTGTTTTACCCCTTTTTGTGGGGATTCTATCTTTCTGCTTCCTTATTCTCACTCCAAAAATTCATTATTATCTGAAAAGAAGACAAAGGTGATGGCATAGATCATAGTACAATTAGTATGCTCTCTTCCAGGCTATGTTATCACTTCATCAAAATGTCTTATTATCGCGTTTGCAATCAAAACATCTAATTGTGTAGGTTATTATAGATGGATATTGCCACAATTCTGTTGTATCCTTATCTGGGCTTAAACAAAACTTATGATATCAATATCCTTTTTAATTTTTCATCTAGAAGTATTATTATCTACTGAACTATCTGTGTACCTTTTTGGGTTCTTCAGCTGTGATGCAAACTGATGGATTTGAGTACTTGAAGGAAAGTTGCCCGCCTGTTCTGACTGAGCTATTGGAGTACGTGGCTAGATTTACCGAGCATTCGGACTTTATGTGCAAGCATAGGAATGAAGCAATACTTGATGGCAGTGACATAAATGGGAGGCGGGTGAAGCAAAGGCTTTAGTGACTTGAGCAGCTTTCTGTACTACTCTCTTCTGCTCTCCTTTTTAATGATAAAGAGAGCCATAGTTAGAGGGCGGATGATGATCGTTAATAGGATTAGAGGCAATTTTTTATTTTCTTAGCCTATTCTTGTGTAAGAGAGATGTAAATGTAATTTGTGTTGGTGCTGTTTGTTACTGTTCTAATAGGTTTCTGTAGTATATTTGTTTAAAAACATTTGTTTGAAAGTATTGATCACTGCTCTTGTTTTTGTACTCTTTTATTGTTGTCAATTGAATTGTGCCTGTTTCTTCAATCTAGTAGCTCAAGTTATCTTAAGATATTTTGAGAAGTACCCTTTAGAAGCATCTTCTCACAGAAGCCCCCCTTCCATTATTGTTTAACTTCTGATAATTGTGAATCGCCCTGAATCGCCCTTTATATTATTCAAGGTTGGGGCTGTATTCGAATCTTGATGGGAAATGGATCTTCTGTTTTGAAGGTGAGAAAAGTTATGTTAGCTTTTCTGTGATCTAATAGATGGAGGATCCATGTTTTCCATGTGATGTAAAGTCATTTTTATGGTTGTAATTGTCTTTAAAATGGTTCTCTGTCAGCAAATTTTTGGTTTTTTTACCAAAACAAACAATAACAAGTGTCAACATTTTGAAAGGTGTGGTGTATTTTCAATTTTTGTTGCATCAAAGAAAACACCACAGCCCCACACCAAATACAAAAAATACAGACACTAAATGTTGCCTCTACTTAGGTAACACCAATTCATTACTCGGCCAACACCGACCCTGACAGCCAGCTGCACTTGTTGCGGCAAACCTGGCACTTAAGAGATATCTGCAAAAGCCAATAATGACCTACATTGAAAACACTAGCATAATATTAAATTAAGCACACCAGTCCAATTCATAGTGGAATGTCACAGCACCTCCACACTAAGACTAGGCCAACACCTCTCTTCTTAATTTTAAAATTGTTTATTTATGTTATGAAACAAATAGTGTTGAGATATGTTATGATTTGGTTGAAATATGATATGATTTATTAAAGATATTATATGATTTTTATATAATTATTATTAGGATTGATATGCATTGATTCTGTATTAATTTTTATCATCTTTACTCAAGGAATTTTCATTGTATTATTCTCAATATAAATAAGATAAAGTTGAGAGCTAATTTCTCTCAATTTTTAATTTTCAAGTTGGTATCATAGCAACAATTTTAGGTTCGTTAAAACCTTGTCAGATACATGCAACACTATTACACTGTCAGACACATGCAACACTATTACACTGAAACACAATTCTTTTGTTCACATTAGGCCATTCTATTCAACTTATAATCGTCATATTGGCCGACCACTTCAAAATTTACCGTCGCGCCTCAGCCCTATGCGCCACCATTGGTCTTTTGTACAACAACAACCTATGTTTTGCTACTGTTTTGCTTTTCTGCACAACAAAAGCCTATTTTTTTGCTACTATTATATTTTTCTACACAACAACCACCTTTGTTTTTACTACCGTTTTGCATTTCGGCACAACATCAACAACTCGTGTTTTGCTTTATATATATAAAGTGTTGTGCAAGATGAGTTCATAAAATTCGAGTCTTCAAGTAAAAATTTAGTTTCCTTTGTCTTCTCAGGCAATCTTGTATAACCTCCTCTGGAAAAACTCAAGGATGAAAGTTATTTAAATGGCCAGCTGCAGTTGAGATGTGGTTTATCGAACAAAAGCTCTCAGAACATCTAACTAAGTTGCGTGATGAATGTTCTCAAGCAAATTGGCAATTAGTATTTCTTATGTGACAATCCATCCAGCCTTTTTTGTTGGGTCGCCATAGCTCATATGCAATCATATACAACATGTTATGATATTTGGCAGATGGCTAAAAATGTTTATTCTAATGATGTCCAACGTCTCTATAATGTCATTCATAATTTTGCCAACCTCAAAATGACAGAGGACATCATGAAGTCTTATGTTAATCGAACTCAATCACTTGTCAACGAGCTCAAGCTCTTATTACTAGCGAAGATTAAAAGAAGATGATCTTTAAATTGGATAGTTCCTATTTCCTTCATACAAATTACGATTCAAAGTTTCTATAAAAAAATTGATACTCCCTCCATTCCTATATATAAGCAAATTTCTCACATTTCACACATACCAATAAACCTCATTAAAACTCAATGAATTATTTGACTTTTATAAAATTAGTTATGTATTGACAGCAATACCCTTTACTATTAATTAAAAAATATTTATAGTAATTATTAGCCACCCTAATAATAATTATCTGCATTAATTGGTGGTGTTTACAACACCATATTTTCATCTCTCTAACGTGTTTCTCAAATTTTTCTTCTCCTGCTTCTTTCAAAAAGTTTGCCAAATTTTCATTTCAAATTTTCGTTTTGCCGCCTTATGTGTTCTTTAAATTGAAAACTAAAATGAAGTTATTTTCCTCAATTATGAACATGCCTCTAAATCTTGATTTAAACAAATTTCCTGAAGAAATTTTGGATGATGAAAGTAATACAGCTTCCATGAATTATTCTTCAAGTTTGATTATGGATAGCAACCAAGCAAATCTGAATATTTTTATATGAAGAACACATAACAACTTCCATAAATCATTCTCCAAACTTGGCAAATGTAGCAGCTTTAGACTTTGTTGAAGATGGAAATGTAGTAGCTTCCATGAACTATTCTTCAAACTTGGAGATGGATTACAACACAACAAATCAAGAATTGGTTGATGATTATAACATGTACCATCCTTCAAATATGAATGATTTATTTTCCGATGAAGATGACAGTAGAGAAGATGAAGAAATCACTCAGATTATATCTCAAGAAGGTATATCAATTTTTAGATTTTTTATGTTATTTTTCTAAAGATTATTGATTTCTTTATGTAAAAGATATGTGAGGTCAGCAAATAAATTTTTGGAGCTTCCTAATGAGCAGCAAATCAGATTATATCTGCCGGTATCTCAAATTATTTAGATTTTGTTTATGTTACTTTTTTTGTAAGATTTGACAGTATCTCAAATTATTTATTCTGATTGGAGTATTGATTTGTTTCACATCATTGCTTGTTTTCTTTATATAAAATTGATGTTTTCTTCCAATGTTATAGTTGCACATTTGTTTCTTTATATAAATGTCACGTTTTTTGTATTCAAAATTTTGTTTTTTTATACAAAATCTTTTAATTAAATTGATTTTGTTTGATTTTTTTAGAAGGAAGCACCAATATTGATGAGACGCATTCATCCGGAAAAAATCGTCATTTCCTGAACAATAATCAAAGAAAATTAATTTCTGAATTATTGATGCATTCAAGTTTTGATAGGAAACTTGAAAGAGGTGACGGTTAAAAACAGGTGGCTACTTCATTTTCAGTATCTATAGATGTTATCTATCGGATTTGGAGACAACTATGTGAAACAGGAGATGTTTGTCATAAGAAAACAAAAATTGTGGGAGAAAAAGAGTTGAGATTGATTATGAGAAAATGCGTGATATTTCATTATCTAAGCGTAGAAATCTTTTATCTTTATCTCGTGCGTTGGGAATTAGCAAGACATCGTTGTTTAGATATGTAAAAGAAGGGAGTTTTGCGTCGTCATTCAAGCGCATTAAAACCACACTTGAAAGATGATAATATGAAAGAACGACTTAGATTTTGTTTGTCTATGCTTGAGGAAAGTAGCATTCCTCATGATCCAAAGTTTAAGTCCATGCACAACATAGTGCATATTGACGAAAAATGGTTTTACATTTCTAAGAAATCTACAAACTATTATCTTCTTGCAAATGAGGCTGACCCATATCGTACGTGTAAAAACAAAAATTACATTGGTAAAGTCATGTTTTTAGCTGCGGTTGCTAGGCCTCGATTTGACAATGAAGGTAACGAGACATTTTCAGGAAAAAATAGGTGTGTTTCCTCTTGTTAATAAAGTACCGGCAAGAAGGTCAAGTGTTAATAGAGCAGCAGGGACACTTGAAACTAAACCGATAACTTCTATCAATAAAGAGATTAGTCGAATGTTTTTGATTAATAAGGTTCTACCGGCCATCAAAGAAAAATGGCCACGAGAACAAGCTTCAGAAACAATTTACATACAACAAGATAATGCACCTTCCCATGTCTCTATGGATGATGAAGAATTTCGTCGAGTAGCTTCGGAAGGTGGTTTTGATATCCGTTTAACTTGTCAACCTCCGAATTCTCCTGACTTGAATGTTTTGGATCTTGGTTTTTTTAATGCCATTCAGTCTTTGCAAACAAATGGAAGTGACTAATTCAGTTGATAGAGCTTATTCAGGCCGTGCAGAAATCTTATGACAATTTTTCTAGCAAAGCTTCAAACAAAATTTTTCTCACACTTCAATCGTGTATGATTGAAATCATGAAGGTCAAAGGATCCAATAATTATAAAAATTCCTCATGTAAAGAAAGATGTCATGTTTCATCAAGGAATACTACCTGTTGAACTAAAATGTGATGGTGAACTAGTTCATGAAGTTATGGAGTATTTAGCGAATTAGATTGTTGAATTACTTTGGCATACTAGGTTGTTGAATTACTTTAGTCATGTCTTAGCTTGCTATAGTTTTATATTTATGGAATAACTTTGTCATTGCTACTGATGTAAAATTAAAGTTAATTCAAATTGAAACAAAGTTATCCATATTAATACAAACACGCTTTTGTCTTCGTGTACCATTTCCGAAACCTCATTTTTTTCAATTCCTTTGGTAAAATATTGGATTATATTATGAACATCATAATCTAAATGCCTTTGATAAAAAAAATTGAATTATAATGAACCTTATATAATGAACCCTCGTATTCTAACGTGCATGCAAAGTAAGAAAAAGAAAAAAACACCACCAGAGAGCTAAAAGTAAGAATGGTTATGACGTTGAATGAATAATTATTCTTTAACATCAAATGAGTATTGTAATAACATTCAAATAATCAA